TCTCCCCGATTACTTCTATAGCTACAACAGGGGATGGATGGTTCATATCCGAAAAAAACCCCATTAGAACACTTGCCCGTTGTATTTCAGCACGTGTGCCAAGTTTTGATTTCGCTATCTTGTAAGTGGGGGTATGAACAGAGTTTCAAAATTAGTATCAAGAGATCCTGAGAGAAGCCGGGAGCAAAAAATTCGATGCCGGATTCGAGTTCAGCAAACCTACTCTTAAGCCCCAATCACGGCAGGGTTACCTTCCGGGTATGTTTAAGCCTGCCCTTGTACCCCAAATAAACAGAGGTAGGGGCTGTGCTACATGAAAACGCATTTACAGTAAAAAAATTGCATCAACTCGTCTTAGGTTAAAACAAAGTGAAAAATACAACTTGCATTACGTTAGAATGTGTAAGTACAAAATGTCTTTATTAATATATAAATTTATTAAAAATAGCAGAATGAGTTGATATTTCAAACTTGCCACAATACAATGCAACGGTATCATGAGGTGCTGGTTTAAAAAAGAATGTTTGTCCCACCTTCACCCTTCCTCCATTTTTTTAAAAATATGCACATGTCTACTAACCATAGATATTCCCACATAATTTGACTAAGTTTTATATAACAGTTAACAGTGTGGCCACATACCTCTATAAAATAAAATGTGAAAAATGGGAAGGTTACTTTGATCAAAACGTCGCCTTCCCAGTCAGACACGTGCATTTTTACCTTTCAAGTTACATTTCGATAAGACTTGGGGTGAGGGGGATTCCATTAACAATGTAAATGGACACGGTAACATATCTACCCCCTTCTAAAATTAAGACGCAAAAACTGAGATAGAACGGTATAATACCTTACCAACATAATCTTTTAGATACGATATTATTATATGAATAAAAACCCTTCCTATACCAACGCAGTGGTTGTATGTTGACAATGTAGAAGGATATATTTCATTATATAATATTGATCGTTTCGTAATTAATATAAAAAACAACAACAGAGAATGATATACTACGTCACCAACATAATGTGTGGGAAATGTTGTATTACTAATGTTTACAAAAAATCCTTTCTAAAACAACATGTGGATTGTTATATGTTGAGTAAAGTACTGACTTATTCTTGTTCTTTCTATATCTGGCGCGAGAGTAGTACAAGCAATGTCAAGAGCAGTGACGTATAGCAGCAACATGTACACGAGGGCGAGTGAACTAGATACACAAGATAAGACTACGTTCGTACCTAACGAAAGGAAACATTTTATATTCCGATTGGTTTACTTAAATAACTAATTACGTAATAATTTTACCCATCTTGAACAATATTCTTTGCTCACTACTGAAAGCTACGATATACACCATTTTGCACTTTTACAAAATATATCAAATTTGTTGGGGGGGCGAACCTCTCCTCACTACATCTAGTAAAGAATTTTTACACGTTTAAGAACCAAATTCAACTAATTTATTTCGGATGACTCACGTGTACCTTTTTAGTCAGCCAAAGTGGGTAAAAATAACGTGGTCTATAATGTGAGAAATTTGTTGCTTTATTTATTTACTTATTTTTCTTACTGAACCATAAACCGTAAACCTTGTATTTAGCTCCTGGTGACCTAATAAAGCAAGGTAAAGTTGAGCTTCAAAATGAGAACTCCAACCTAACCATTTTTTTAGTTTCTAAGACACGCCAGTAGCAATGTTTAAAGTATGGAATAGTTCATTCTAGCAATATCACATTCACACAAAACATTATGAATTCGTAAGTTTTAACGTGTAAAACGTCAACTCTTAGCTGGCAGTGTATGGCATTAAATCGTTACTATATGTGTGTGTGTGTGTGTGTGTGTACTATTATATCACAAAAAGAATGGTAATAAGAAGAGTGTATAATAGCATGTCAACTATTCCTTGTATGTTATATTCCACTAATAAATACTGTTATACACTATCTTACTGGAAACCCTTTTTGTGACGTGATTTACATTACTGTCAGTCTTAATGTGATACATTATCACACATATTAATGTTCAGTATATATTCCCACCTTAACTGACTTAGCAGAAAGAGTAGAACATTTTGACTTGAAATATGCTACGAGTAAAAAATAACTCATTTGTCTGCAACATCTTAAATGATGTGATTAATACTTCTGTTTTTTACCTGACAAAGTTTTCTCTACATCTATCACATCACTACTTATAAAAAATTACCAACAGTCAGGTGATTTAAACATGACCTTTGAAGAATGTCTTTATTAGGCTTCACTATTTACACACAAAAGTGCATCTAAAAATTATAACACTGAAAAATCATATGCTTTTTAAAACAATGTAAAAATAAACTCCGATTAAATACAGTTTGACAACTGTCATAAAATCCCTAATTACATCTTCAGCAAACACAGATTTAAGTATTGTCATATATACACACTCCACATCATTATTCACAAAACGTGTAACATACAAGTGGATTTTTTTCTCAATTCTTAATTTATATGAATAATAAAACTGTTTTTAAGCATAATTACATTACACTAACTTTAAAAAGTTTGTCAAGTGATAGAATTTATTTCTCTGCTCTCTTTTCTTCACAATTCAAATCTGGAAACCAAACATTCCATCCACTTCCTTTCACTCACATATTGAAAAAATGAAAATCAACTGATCATTAACTAATATTCAAAATCTTTGTCATACAGTTCAATTCACATCTGAGTGATTCTACAACAAACTAAAAAAATCTGGCATGCACACAAAAAAAAGGGCATGATTCCAAGCAGGGTAAGGTCCCCAGCAAAGAGCTGGAATGTATGATCAGGACACTTAATGTAACAGTGCACTCTATTGATACTTACCAGGCCACAGTAACATTAGAAAAATGACTGTTAAAAAGTACTGAGACCTCTGATGATAGGCTTACATCATGAGTATTTTTAAGTGATTTGCAGCCAACAAAATCTTCACTTTGAATTTATTAAGCAGCCAACAGAAGGAATACATCACATCAAAAAAGTTAATTTTTGAATAGACTTCTCTTCAATACACCACTTGTTCTGAAGATGTTATCATAGAAGAAGAATATTCCACAAAAAATGATAAAAATAACAGTTGGGTTCATTTGTAAATGCATAACAATAATTTATGTTAGTATTTAAAAAAAATGTTACACCAGACTCAGTATACAAAACTGTTTTCAATCAAATCAATTGTGCTATACACACAACTTCTGATGGCTTAACAAAAATATACAATGTACTTGAAAATACTGTATCAACACTGGTGGTGAGGGAGAGTATTCACTACTGTGGTAACTCTTTGTCAAAAGTAGATTCAGTCAGATCCTAAACCTCACCATAATAAATTCAGGGTTATATTGTTCTACATTTGTAACTAGTGAGCCACTAGCTGAATTCAGTGAATAAATGGTGCTCTTAAAATATACACTATTTTAAACTTTGTTGTACATTTAATTTAAAAAACAAGTATAAAAACCAGCTCCTTTAATTTTTCTTGAAGGATTATAGTAGTAGTAGATTTTTAATGTTAAACTTCAGTTCTTTAGGTTAACTTACTCTCCTAATATTTCACAGATGCATGTTTCCTTTGTTTGATTTACTTTATGCATACACAACAGGTTTCAACTTTACAGGTTGATAATGCTATACTACATGTTTTAGACAGATCTACAGGTATTTATGCATCTTTCACTAATGTTGATTCTACATAAAGTGTAATGGAAGTTTCCACTAATCTATTCAAAGCAATACTTTGGGCTGACAATTACAACAGTATGATAATAAAAAAATTACCACAATGACACAAATACAATGACAGACAAACTATTTCACTCATACAGCATCCAAACAGAAATGTCAGGGAGTCAGGGCATTCTCCACTCATATAATACAATAATTTTGAAGATTACAATCATATACACAACATCGAAAATTACATTTTTTTTCAAACAACACTTTTCATTACATATCTGCATATTTGCTGCTAATAAGTTTGACAAACATAGACACTGATAGTTAGAAATTAAGAACAACCTGAAACAATTTAAGAAATGGAATACAATGGAAAAGTCTACAAAAAAAAATCTTAATTAGTTTAAACTCTAAAGTTACAAAAATGAAATTTTAGATATGTCATAAAATCACATGTAACAATTAGAAAAATTCACCTATTCTATATTATGACAAATGTCATTGAACTGCCATGATTCTTATCAATTTTAAGACATGAAATGCTAGTTACCTAGACATAAACAGTAACATACATCTTACAATCAAGGCTTCAATAATGAACTGTTCTGTGTGTTGTAGTCATTATTGACATTAGCAATAAAAGATTATTTAGTGCTTTCAATCAGAAGGTAGTAGTAGTAAGATGTAATCTGTTCAATGGTGAAAATGCTAAGCAAAAAGTTGAACAATCCAAAACCTAATTTTATTTTTCAGAGTGACATTTAAAGCAAGTATGGAGTTAAAACAAGACCCTTTTAAAATATGACAACAATGTAAATAAGACAAATATATCCAGTATAAATAAATATTCACACATAATTTATTTTAATTCATTTTTTTAACCATAAAAAAGATTATTTTGCTGATAGTTCTTTAAATATAAAAATTTAACATAGTTTATTATTATTTCTTTCCAATTATTTCCTTAAAAATTACTTAAATCCACACTAAAGAAAATTCTGGTGAAATTTTTGCTATTCATATCTACAGCTTAAAAATGGAAAAGACTGACTTCATTAGTATTTTTTTAATAAACTCTATTGGCAAGATATATGTACATATAACAGCCTTGTGATGTGTTTAAAGTTATAAAGTATTTAATTTTACTTAGACATTACAAACTGTATACACAACCATTAATAATACTATTATTATGTATACATATGTATATATAGTTTTTTAACACATGATACATGTTCAAAACAATTTATTTGCCCATATTTAGTGAAACAAAAACAGGAGAAGAAACTCACCATGTGGGTATGCTATTGATGATGCACAACTTTTAGAAACTGCTCCTGCAAACATGTATTCAAGGAAGTCCCTACTAGATTTAGCATTTGGATCATAACAATTTCTCCTTCTCCTCAAAGAACTTTCTCTTAGCTTTGCTTTGATAAACTCATAAATCACAAAATGAATAATAGTTTCTGAGATACCAAAATAAGAAGCACTGAGTCCTTTGTAAAATCCTCGTATACCCTTAGATCTGTAAATCCCATGAATACAGTTTCTTGCTGAAGTACTTCCAAATGTTCTGAAAAATAAAAATACATATAGTTTTATTATAGTTCAGAGTACTTTATATTTTGCAAAAAAAAACAACAACAAAAGAATATATTTCTATTTCTAAAAGTCTCTTACGAAGTATGAAGATTTTTTATCTAACAGACTTGAAAGTTAACAAATCTTGTTTTCATTATTCTATATAAATATATACTGTAATATACTAGTTATCTATTTACAAAATACAAGTGATATATTTTAAGAAATAGACATCTTTGTGTATATTATACACTGAGAAGTTTTCTATCTAAACTATATAAATCAACCTTCTTTGTTCATAATGTAACATTACATAATCACAAAACATTTCACCAGGTCCAGATAAATTTCATAAAACCTAAACATTTTACAACAAAGTACCATAAACAGTGTGCAAATGGTTGATAAGAGCTTTTAATCATTATACCTTTGATCTAATTGTAGCCTAGTCTTCACAACCCAGACAGGGTTAGTTACAGAACAGGACATGAACCCTGTAAAGAAAAAGTTATTTGTTCTGAAAATATAAGCAAGCAGTTCTACTACATGTAAACCAACTAACAAACAGGTGGATTTCTTACACATAAGTGCGTGTGCATGTGCATTGTATAAAAACTAGTTTAAACCACAAAAAAAAAAAGTGAAATAACTTTTTTTTTCTCATAACTTCTCACACAAAATAAAAAGGTTTCCTTTTTCTTCTGATATAATTTGATATGCTGGTAAGCCATGTTTTTCTGTTATATCTGAAGGTCAAAAAATATTGTTAATTATAAACAACTTTCTTTTCTCTTTTCAACATACCTTTCTAATTATTTAGTATACTGTAATTTGCCAGTTTATTACTACAATGTATTTTCAGAGTCAAAGTAAAATCATGGCTCAGTTTACTGAAAGTATATATACCTTTATTAGTTTCATTTTTATGCAATCTTGACACTTGGTTTTTTTTTTCTCATATTTTACTTATGAAACATTTAAAAATCTAGCATTTTCATTTTATGAGATAGTTTAACCCTAGATCTCAGATCAGAGTAATAACAGCCATTTTTAAGCAAACCATTTTGAAAATGACACTCATTAAAAATTTATAATAACTACAGTTAAATAAACCGAAGAGTAGTCAGTTGGGTTTTTGTAGTACATGGTTAATTTGGCTATCAATAACCACTTAATACTTCCACAAATGAAATACAGATACCACACTTTTTATTTTAGTTAGAACTCATTGTTCTCAGAACAATAAAAGAGCAGTGAGAACTTTTTAACTCACAAAATTATGGATTATTTTCACTGTTACATTATTCCTTTGTTGTTCACAAAAGTGAAAAAAACCAGTGTAATTTTTTAAAATATTGGTGCAATTAACCTTTGAGACCATCTGAAACTCTAAACGTTAACGCTGAGCTAAACATTACACTAGGTGTTATTAGAATCTTGATATACATAGTTACATATAAGTGGTATATTTACAAGTAAGGGGAAAATGTGTTTTATTCTACTCATTTAAAAGTAATAACAAAGTAATGTAATTTAAACTATTTTAATGTTCATACTAAATTCAGTTGGAAGGAAACAAAAACTTCATCCACAACACAAATTTTAAACAAAATAAAATACTTCTTTCTTTTTAACACAACGTAAATTTTAGACTTAAGCTTTAATGGAGCAATAAATTAGATCCTTATAAATTGGATCATTCTCAAATTACTAACAAATTAACAAGTACACAGTCTTCAGCCTTTCATTTAAAATAACACAGTTTTCCAACTAAGAAAACTTACCAGCACTAGCTGCAGATACAATATGGACCCACGGTGTATCTGGTGTGAGGTGTGCATTACAAAAACCCTTTGTTTGAGAATATGTGCAAAAATATATAGCCCTAGAATAGACATACACATTCATATCTTTGAAATCATAAATAGATGATTCAAGTAAAATTGCTAAAATATAGTGTAAGTTAGAAATTACATTCAAATTCATTTCTCACAATTGTTTATAAAATTAGTGATTTAAATAAACAAACTTCAATGATAGAGTTTTCAAAGTGTAAATAATGTTCAAAATTCAACCTGATTTTTCATTAAATGTTCTATCTTCTAAAAGTAAAGGAGAAGCTTCACTAACTTTACTGTGTCATAAATGACTTACACGAAACAACCACCAATTAAGAATTTAAGTTGTTATCCAACTGGCCTTATGACCTCTGATATTGAGTGAAGGGCTTAATCTGCAAATTGCTTTAACAAACAGCTTGAGGTAAAAGTGTTAACACCAGACCATCTCCCCTTAATAAAGTGGCTAATAGAAAAGATATAGAGGCACTAATGACAGTTGTTATAGCTATAATTTTACTCAAACCAGTATAAAGAGTACATATAAAAAATGATATGGGTAAAGTTGCCACACAGAGAAGTAAAACTGTTAATTTTGGAGGTTCTATAGGAACTTGTTATCTGTTACAAGTTTCAAACTATAAATGCATACTTTTACTTCAGGACAAAACAACAAAAGTGGAAACTATGCCCCCTATAGGAACCAGAAAGGAATAAACTGTGCACTTTTTACATAAGAACACAAAAAAAATTATCGAAGGCTTTTCTGCTTATCAAAATCTTCCTCTGTCATACAAACAAACTAAAAAAAACTTAAATAAAATCCAATATTTCAAATACATGTAGCTAACCAACAAAATTGTAAAAAAAAGTAAAACTTACAACATATTATTAGGCAAACCACTCCACAGTTTATAGTTCTTAAATGAAAAAAATATTTTAATGAATTCTAATGTAGAGCAAAAGGGACTTGTGAGTTTAAAATGCCACTAATGCACTGTTGTTGTTATCATTTTTCTTATAGAAACATGTTTGGGAGCAGTTAAAAGGAAATTTTTAAAACCTCACTACAATATCCTCATCAATGTATATACATTAAAAAACAGCCTCTCAGAAGATACATAATTTTATCTATAGCATAACAGGCAGAAAATGATAAAAACTGGTAAAAATTCACATAAAAAATTATACCTACATATATGTACAAAACAATTTTTCACTTTATGCAGAACTTCTGTAAATAACAAATATCCTTGACATCAACAAAATATTTAAGTAATTCATTTACATAAAATATTTTAACTGCAAATAATGCAAGAACAGAAATATAGTAACTTACCGAGAAGGGGCAACACCGACAAGGTTTGGACCTAAACCCTTAAAGAGTGCCCTGGCACCTTCATTTTCTACTATGTGTCTGTGAAAGAAATAACACATATATATAAATACCTTCACTTAATAAACAAGTGCTATGTATGAACCTGCTCTGCATATCTATTTAAAAAAAAAGGTTATTAAGGCCATAAAACTAAAATTGTAAATCTATAGGTTTCATTAAATCAACATTTTATATAAACATGATATTAAATGTCTAGAACTACATGGTTGAATTATAACTTAATATTATCCTTTGCTGAATGACAAAATGTATAGATATGTTACAGTACAATAAAAGGTAAGCAAACAACAATTTATAAGCATAAGGAAGAATTTTGTTGCTGGTGGATAACACTACATGTTTTTACAGGGCATTGGTCTGTCTTCTTCGGGTATGGTTAGTACCAAGCAATACAAGGTTTTCATATCATTACAAAGACAAAAAAACATAGGGAATAAATGCGACAGAAATGGTGTCAGCAGGTGAAAGGATATAAGTAAAGGTTGAGTATGGTCAAATGTATGAATGGTGAATAAACCTTGCCAAATATGGCTGATGTTGCTAGGGCCATTATCACGGTTTAGTGAAATTGTGTGCTTTAATGATTTTTATAGTTTCTAAACAGTCTCTTCTTTTTAGTTTTGGGTTAGTGTAGGAGAAGAATTTCATCCCAAAGTATTTTGTGTCCTCTTTCATATTGATATCTTAAGGTGAATATCTGGAATTCACTCCTACCCATGTGACCTTGGTGTTCTTTACATCTTATTTCTAAGGAATGTGATGTTTGTTTTATGGATTTCTTTCTACATTCACATGGAATACTACATCTGCCTTGTTTTTGTTCCTTTAGTAGGGATTATTTCGGGTTAGATAGTAAGGTGTCAATTTTATGTGAAGGTTTGAGCATTAATGCAAAAACTGTATTCAAACCTTCACATAAAATCAACACCCATGTGAATGTAGAAAGAAATCCAGACTTAACCTTTACCTATATCCTTTCACCTGCTGACACCATTTCTGGCACATTTATTCCCTATGTCTTTTTTTGTCTTTGTAACGATATATAAACCTTGTATTGCTTAGTACTAATCATATCTGAAGAAGACAGACCAATGTCCTGTCAAAACATGTAATATGTTCCACCATCAATAAAATCCTTCCTTATGCTTATAAATTGTTGTTTGCCTACCTATTATTATATTAACATAATTTATTTCCTTACTCAAATATACAGAACTTGTTTTCTGATTTACATTTGTATGTGATGTAAAGATCTTTTTTTACTCTTGTTTATTTATAAACTCAGTACAAAATGTCCATAAATTGATTATAATGACATTTCATGTTTTTATTTTACCGTATACATGGTATTAAGACTAATTTGTACTTATAACTGCAACACTTATTTACAGACAGTGTCTACATAAAATACTAAAATTTACAAGTGCTTTTACATTTCATTTGTGATCCAAATGATCCATATATACCTCTTTCTTTCTCAGATATACTGTTTAATTTTTTCACTAATTAAAACTACTTTATCTATATCTCTATTCTCTGTTGAATACAACCACTAATAAATTTAATTTCACAGTGTATGTGCATGTGTATAAATAGTAAAAAAAAACTTACTTGAGACAACGCCAAATGCCAATTGTCTGTTGTCTAGTTGTTGAAGTTGTGGAATTGAGAACTGGAGAGAAAGAACTTTCTGCTGGGGTAGAGTTACAACTTGTTGAAGTACTGTAAGTGTATATATGACACTGATGATTTGTATTGTTTATTGAGGGGTTGCAAGGAGCTGACGGCACATACACATAACTAAAGTTTGCAACAGATGACTGAAGTCGTGTTTTAACTACCTCTAATGGACATGTTGCAATAGCACCTGCTGTTCCACCAATTCTAGACCAAATATAATTAATAATCAGAACACATTCTTTAAACAAGAAATTCTAAAAATTAAATGCACCTGATGAGACATTAATGTAACAATTAGTTAGTTGAAAGCCTTTTAATTCATGTAGGTCACTAACTAGTTTCCTAAAACAAAAATTATCTAGTACATTGAAGCATAAACTTATTTTGAAACAATCCAGAAATAAGTTCTCTGTTACTTTCGGAGAGTTGCTTTCATGTGGAATGTTCTAACTTATCTATTATTATTAATTTTAATTTATTACTGTACTTTTACTATAAATATTATTTCGCACTGTTAGATTAGTGTATGAATTTAAGTCTAACCAAAATCCCAAGCTAGCCAAACTTTGTGAAATACTATTGGATTTATGGCCCAAAACATTGTTAATAGTAAGGGTACTCAACTGATTAGACAATGCATTATTGGTATACTTGGAAAGTTGTACTCATTGTCAAGTTGACTTAAGTAGGTAGCTTGATTTAAGCAGACATTCATGGTAATTCTGTATTAATTTTTTTTTATTAAGTAATTGATTTATCTACTTAGATAAGAACATCTAATTATGTTAAACCACAAAATCAAAATAAAACTAATACATGTCATTACCTTATAACAGTCCTGAGGCTAAATGTGTATGTAATTTCCAAAGCTTGTAACTATCGCTGAAAACAATCACATTTACTTCCTCAACCCTACCATTCCAATGCAAAATCAATAGAGCTGTGTGATTATTGGAATTTGTGAATCAATTAATAGTTATGCTTATTGATCGATTAAGTTCAAAAAACAGCTTATTCACAGGAGACTTGGATAATTGAAATAACTGAAATAGTAATAATCGGAAAGGTTAATTATAATTAATTGATTACTTATGAGACATGACACTAACCAATTAAGCTGAATGAACTCAAATTAATTACAATAATAATGAGAAATCATAATGGCAGTGTTTTGATTATAGTGAACCCTGTTAGTCCGGACATCAACAATGTGGATGATTTTTCATGTTGACAAATCTTCACAATGGGAAATTTAATCAATAACACAGGCCTGTAAATCTAAACTTCATAAAAGTTGTTTTGATTTTAATAAAGAAATTTTCATAATTCAGGTACTCAGATTTCGAAAATATTATTCATTTTTTTACAAATCAGGAAGGAAAAAAAAAAACTCTTAATTAGATCAATTTATTATTTCAAAAATAATATTCATTTTTTTCTATCATGTAAGAATTTTTTTACAAATCGGGAAGAAAAAAAAACGTTTACTTACATAAAAAAATATTTCGTTTACCACAATAAAATTTTTTTTATTATTATGCTTGTTAAGTTTGGGTTCTAGAACGATCAATAAGACTTTCATGTCACAATTAGTCTAAAGAAATCTATAGCTAGTCAACATTTTAAGCATAACAAAATGTGACCCAATTTCAATAAAAATGATCCACTTATGTAAAAGTACATATGACATTTTGTGAAAAATCTGAACGTGATGGAGAAAAATGGATATTGTTTTCGAATTCAGCATACAGGAACTATTGAACATGCAAATATTTCAAGACAATAAAACCACTACAGGCCTGTGCAATTAATCTGTATATATGCATTCCAAATACAAACAGCTATTTCTTATAACAAACATGCATTTCCTACAAATATAATTTATACATGACTACACAAGTCACATAGGGGTCGATCAGTAGTAATGGGCATATAAACTGTAAAAAACATCAGTGTTCATCAGAGTGATTTATGCTACAGTCATATAAAGTCACATTGTTCCAAAACAAAGATGCATAGAAATATTATCATCATTCACACATGATGTTTCTTGGTACAAGAAAGTAATACATGTACTATGTACCTTGTATTCTATAAAGAAATTGGTTTGAACAAGATGATGATTTATATATACATTATATAGTAATATAATCTAAGGACAACTAGGGACCTGTTGGTCTATCTAGGCCATTTCGTTCACTAAACTTTAAAATGAAAATAAAACACTCAAAGCCAGCCCTTATTGTTCAAATATTTATTAAGCCCTCCCTTAAACTCCATTAAAACAACTGCATGCACCAGATCTGAAAGCAACCAATTCCAAAGGCCAACCACCCTATTAGAAAAATAAAGCTGATTTAGCTAAAGATGCCTCCTACCCTGCCAAAATTTATATATGTTTCTTAGTCTTACCAATTAAGTATGAAATATAATGAAATAATATGCCATTTTGGATATGCATTTTTTCATATTTATTGACAATGTAAAGTAATAAACTAACAAGTTTTTTGTACATAGAATAAATTTTTTTACCATTTACACGCCCATACTTACGAGTTTGCATTCTTATATTTATTGATCAATAACACTTGCTGTTAATATTATCCATTCTATTCAAAGTGACCAATTTGGCTATCTGGATGTCTCAATATTCCAAAACTATTTTGGTAAAAATATGTTCAGATTAATAAGATTTCACTGTACTTGCATTTTTGGAATAATCAAAACAAGTAATAACCATAAATACTCATTTTTATTAATTTATCATTATAATGACATTAATTGATTTAAAAGTTTACCTTACGTGAAACTAATTGATGTTCATATGTAACTAATTAATCCAGTTAATTGTCCAACTCTAAAAATCAGACTGCACAAAGAATGTTTGAGCTCACCTTCTTTGTAGTAATATATTACACCAAGCTGTATAATATAGAGATTAAACAGTCCCACATAAATATATTTAATAAGGCACTAACTTGCTGAAACTGAACAAGTAGAACTTACATTATTACAATAAATTAATAAAATGTCCTTTAAATTTTAAGACATTGTTTACATCCTGCTTAAATTTTTTGTCTGATTTGCTTATTTGCAATTTCAAAATCTCATACGTAATTTGACGTATTACACTAGCTTTAAAACATAGGTTTAACACTAAGTAGTTAAGTCTTAACAAGAAGAATAAGTGAAAGTTTAGAAACCCAGAAAGCCAATCTGGTAACTAAGAATGTTGTTTCCATTCTAAGCTTTTGCATTTAACATGCTACTCTTATGTCAGTATTTTCAATTACCACAATAATCAGTGAAAATTCTGATGCATAGGCAAAAGAACTAACTTTATTTCAAGTTCAAGATCAACGTGGTCTTTTTTTCTTATTGTTAAGCCTTGTAACTTTAGTCTTATGTTTGCCCAGTGATAATTTTAGTGGGAAAATAATCTGTTGCAACTACTAATTTAACATTTAGCTTACAATAGTACAAAACGCCCACAATACTAGTACTAGTAGTAATATGTCACTAAGAAACAAGTAACGTTTTTAGAATGACTCACCCGCCAGCAAAAAGATGTATTATCGTATCGTAACTGGACATAACGTAATTCATAAAACAATTGAATTTTCTGGAAAAAACAAATGTTGAATTACTACACATTGTTGAAAAAATAAATGGAGTACTGAATATCA